GCAGGAGTTGGGAAAGACGACCCCTTGACTGATAAAATATAAACTAGAATATACTGAAATTACTAACTGTATCTATAGTAAACTGAATGCCTTCATTTTAAAATATGTTAGTCTCAGGAGACCCAAAGCTACACAGAAAATGACACTATCTACAGAAAGAGCCCATGCACAATATTAAGGATACATGGCAATAGACATTTTGGTGTTCAAGTAGTCATTCAACCTCAATCATATGCAGATTACTATATGGTAGGTACAACTCATTCCTGAATCTCTGCTCAGACTTTTAAGTCAATCTTAATGTTCATCATTAAACAAATTATACTTAACTAAAATGTTTAACAGAACCGTGCAGCAAAACACACCACTTCTTCAGCCTCCCTAATTAGTACTGTCCTTGCCCAGTGGCACCAGTGACTACAGACAAGAATCATACAGTAGTCTGGCTACAGCCAGACAAGAATTCAAGGGCGCACACAAGAAAACCATCAGGTTATCTAAGTTTTCTTCACATTTTATTTCCTCCAAGATAGAATCACTACTCTGAAAAGCATGCTTCTTTGAATACCATATTAAGACCTAAATCAAATCAGCTGCACCCTACTATTTTTAATCTGAAAGAGCAACAGTAATAGTATCCTAGCATGAAATACACAACTTTAAGACCACTGCATCAGAATTTTTCTTTTTAGACCAATCCAGCTTACAAAGCAGCCCAGAACATGCACACAGTTTTGAGTGTAATCAGTACCTGCCAATGAAATAATCTGGACATGACTTTCAGATTCAATATCAAGATCATTTGAGCACTGTACATTCAAACCTAAGAACACATACCCTAAATGTTCCTTGAAAACGGAATGTTGATAGATTCAGTCTAAGGCACTAAGCCAGTTCGGTCTAGTCTGCTATGTCAGAAATGGTATGTTATGCCAATCAGCTACAAATCACTAGCCATTACTGAAAAACAAAACTTTAGCCATTCTCATTCAAAGACGCATTATTTCACTGTAAAACTTTTCCACAAAAATGCTGATTATTACGAGAGTCTAGCTCTTACAGTTTAGTATTTGCCAGTATTTACCGATCATGAAGACTCAGAACCAAAGTGTTCATACAAAATCGTAACAACATGCCTCAGGAACACTTAAGTTAGAAGACAATGATTTAAACTTAAATTGGATTTGATCAATTCTTGGGACAACCAAAGGATTATTTTACCTGTTACCACCACCACCTCCTCCGCCTCCACCTCCATGACTCTCCATCCCATAGGATTGGTTAAGGTAAGAGTCCATGGATCGTGGGCCACCATAGCCTCCATGCCCATAATCACGGTCCATGTCTAAAAAAAGAGCAGAAAAATGTTTATAAAGAAAGCAAGCAAGTCTTATTAAGTAATCTAGTTTAAAACCTTAAGTAAACAGTTTACTCTTTGCCACAGTGCTTACAAATAAATACAGAACTGCCAGTTGCAAACCAATTTCAACACTGTGCTTAGGGAGGCCATGTGTCTTTGTCATTATCCGAGCACCTCTTAATTGAAATCCAGTTCATATTTTTCCCCAGTAGTGGATAACTCGGGATTATTGTTCCATCAGCTGTAATTTGGATGCAAGTTAAATTAAGAGAATTAGAGAAGCCTCATGTATAATATGTCAGAAGTTAGTGCAGAACTAAGAACACTTCCTTTAATAATACAGGCAGCTCACAGACATCTGCTTTTTTTATCCAACTCTACAAGAAATCTTCACTCACACTGACACAGACCTCGGGTCAAGGTTACAAGCTGTCATGCTGCAGTGCAGACTCTGTATATAGGCTACAGTCAAACAAAAAAATTTTCTCCGATCTAGCACAAAAACCCACCCAAATCAGCACTGAGTTGCAGTTCACTAACTGCACTAAGATGTTGCTATTTCATAGCTAAACTGATGTCACTTCATGACATCTTTGTATCTTGCAATGAAGGCTGGCAAAAGAACCAACTTCTTCCTCAACACTAGAAGTCTTATGTAAAAGTTCTGGTTAAATAACCAGAGCATTAAAGCATTCAAAGCATTAAAACAGCATCATAGACCTGCATAAAGAGTACGATCCGCTGTTTTTCTTTAACATACACGATTTCCACTTCACTGGCATTCTAGTGACCAAAACTGCTTCCCAATACCAAGCAACACTAACTTTTGGATAATATAAAGAAAGCCTGGCAAGTCAAGCCTCACAGAAAAGGTAACATAAAGAAGGAAATCACAGTGAACGTAGAGAAGATAAAAATAAAACCACACAAAGACTTGTCCACTCTGATAAGAGAGAGTATTTTATACATTTCAAAATCTTCAAGTATAAACTATTACTTTTCCAGAAGGCAACAGAACAATGAGCTCACAAGAAGTCATAAGAAATCTTCCTGTTTAAAGAAACATAGTAATTCAGTGTGCATATAATTTCATGAAAATAACTGTAGTTATGAAAATAAGTATATATACTATTTCCTGTCTGTACCTGTTTCTTGTTAGCACCAGGCAGCAATTGTAGTTTACTTTCTTACATCCATCAACAAGAACAGTTCTGCAAATGGTATTGAGCTGACTGTATTACTTGTACACAGATGTTCTTAGCATGCCTGAATAGACTCCAACAAATGAAGATCTCTTGCTGATTTTTTTTTTCTTTTAATGATCATAGGTACTTTCTAAAAAATTAGAGGATACTTCTGAAACAAAAAACTTTTAATATGGAAGTCACATTGCACCTTTCCATATTTCAAACACACAATAAAGAAACTGCAGCAAAGCAGAAAAAACCTTTCCAAAATACTGATCACGTAACACTACACAGCCACACAGCACCAACTTAAACTGCAACAAGTTACTCTTTAAAGAAAAGGCTGAGCCTTCTAATAGAAGCATCTGATATTCCTCTGTTGTGTGACTGAATTACCTACCACTTAATCCAGTGGAACACACTCAATACTGCCAACATAAAGATGTAGGTGAGTAAAAAGATTAGCCAATAAAATAACTCCAGTTTCACAGAAATTAAGGTTAGATGATCCCACGGTCAATCTCAGATCATAGGTTTTTGGTTGGTTTGGGGGTTTTTTTTTGTTTGTTTGTTTGTTTTAAATACAGTATATCTAATCAAAAGACAATGACATTCTGAAAACAGAAATCTGACCTGAAAGCGCCCGAAAATTTTCCCTAGTTTCACCTGCTCCCTATCATCCATGGACCCTGAGCTGGCACTGATCAGGTTGAGTTGTAGAGGTGAACCAAATCATTCAATAACAAAGAACACAACATACTGTCAAGATCCCTGCCACCACAATCCAACTCTATTAGCGTAGTAAGTAGAGATCAGTGTCGTTCACACGCCAGAAGTTCACTAATGGGAAAAAACACAAACACACTGACATGCAAAACAGGTCCTACAAAAAATGGTTTGCAGCATAGTTTTAAAGTAAATTTTTAGTATACAATTTTTAGCATGGATACTAAATACCAAAATATGTTTTACAATCATAGAATAATTTTACATCCACTTCTGCTCAATACTCTCCTTACTCATCAAAGGTTCATGTCATCTAACATCAGCAGTCTTGCTGTAGAACTACACCAGTTGCTAAATCCTCATATCGCTGCCTTTAGGAAATCTCCACCTTCTTCCCAATAGTGAACCACTTAGTCACCCTTTTCAGACTTACTGCACTGCATTTACCTACATTATAAAACACTCAGGTTTAAAAAGGTTTAACAGGGTATACAAAAGGTACAAAGAAGTAAAGAGGGATGATCACTTTTATGATTTCCTACTACAAGAAACTGGAGGTAGCAAATAAAACTGAAAAAAATAGTAAGATAAAAATTACTTGGATCTTTTTCCACAAAGGAGATATTTAAGTCTGGGAATTGCTCTGCGAAAAGAAGTTAGTAAAAATTTACCTAGATTTAAGAAAGAAATTTGATAAATCCACTGACAAATTCAAAGGACAGATATTGAACACAAAGACTATGTCTCTGGTTCAGAAAGTCCCCAAGCTGCAAACCACTGAAGGCATATAAATACAGTGAAGAAGTACTTGTGCTAGTCCGTATCTCCAAACGGACAGTGACATACAGGATATTCGTGAGGTGGGACAGACACATCTTTGACCTGACCTAATGGAGATGATCTTATGATCTCCTTCTGACTACTGCACTAGCTGCTCCAGATTGCTGAGCAGTTAACCTATCATTTCAACCACCAGTCTGCTGGTTCAGTCATTTTGTCAGCTGCAAACTTCACCAAGCTTGACAAAGACATTGCATTCAAATTACAGAGTGCAGTATTTCCTCAGCATTAAGCTCTTCTTTACTCTGGAAGTCTTTTCTCCAGATAGGCTTTATCCTAAGAAGGGGGAAAATGTACAAGAAGCCAGTAAATATTCACTAAGTGAACCAAAATAGAAGGACTTCAATTTTGAATGTAGTAGCTGAATACTGATCACTTGCACAGCTTTAATTATTACAGTCTCAAGGTAAATAGCTGACAAACTTCACAACCAGACAGCAAAATCCATTTGCACTGGCCTCCTTCACACTTTCAATTCTTCTACTAACTAAAGAAAGACATGGAGCACTAGAAAAGCTGTATCTGCACAGAACAATTTCCTCTGCCTGTAGCCTGCTCCCCTTTCACTGTTATGCTGGCTATGGCTGTCACCACCAGTGGAGATACGCAGAGGTCACCTGTGTGCAAACTACTCAGACTACATGTGAAATTGTTTCACATACTGAGAGAACACGTGCTTAAGCACTACAGAAAAACCGCTGGGAATTGTACTGCAGTGTCTCAAACTGAAAATTCAGAAGCACAGTATTTAATTTCAGTTTAAATAGTTACTGCTTGTTTATCAAAGAAAACTTATACCTGTGTATCTACAAATACTACACAGTGAAAAAGAAGAAAAAAAGTGGTTCACATTTGTTCCTAAAGTTTAAAAATGAAAGAGTAAGTCTGCAATGATGAAGGCACTGACAAAATATCTGAAGTTTGATGAAGGAATAAATCAGGTTTTGGTATGTGCAGATTCTTGCATAAATACAATGTAAATGAATGAGCTGTTGAACTAAAGTACAGAAATAGAATTTCAAAGAACAATCTCACTTCTCATTTCAAGATTATTCTTAAAATCTACTGGGGTAGGAGAGAAATGTTATGTCAAAGGGGAAAAATATACTACCTCTAGAAAAAAAAAATGTGACACTGAAAGGTAAGTTCAATTTACAAATTGAACTGTTAATGTACATGTATTCCTTCAGACTAAAAAAAAAAAAAAAAAAAGCGCTATATCTGATAAAAAAATAATTTAAAATAGCTGTAAAATAAATCTCAATAGCCAGCAAAGAAAAATCAAATTTTCCTTATGAAGGGAACTAGGAAGTTAAACATGTACCAAATAAGATTAAGAATCCCATGGTACAGAGGACTCAGTTTAAAAGAAAAAGCTTAACATCAGAACACTGAAATCATATTCACTGCACAAAGAAAGAAAATTATTCCTTCAGACTTTCTCAATGTGGAGCATTCTCAATGTGGAGCATATGAAAGGGCTAAGAAGGTGAGAGAAAGGAGAAAGACCTTGCAGTAATAAATACTAAATGAAAAAAACACTTAAGTAAAATAGCTTTTAAACAATTAAAAAAACCCAGAAGAATCAGCTTGAAACGAGCTAGATTTCCCTATATTTTAAATGCACAATCCACAATGACTACAACAAGCTCAAGGATCCATTGTGCAATAGTAAGCAACGTTTTCTCCAGGCACACTACATTTTTCGTAACATCATGCCTGCTTTAAGGTCACAAGCTTGTCATTAGATGCAGAAGTTTTTTAACACATCATTGAGTTCCGTGCAAAACAATGAACCATGCCAATAATGTAGGTGAATTCTAGGAACTGAAGCAAAAGCCATTTCCCCTTTCAGATTAAAAAGACAACAGTTAAGTAATTAACATATTACCATGAATAGTTAATAATACTTCTGTTAACAATTCTGTTAATTACTGAATTTATTCTACAGGCCATGTCATCTGTCTCAAACCAAGTCATCAATGGTGGAATTACAGCAGTCATCAGCCATTCAATGAAAAGGGCTTCACACTGGCTACAAGTTTCCAATAGGAAGAACCTTGCCAAGAACTCAAACAAAAACTCTGCAAAGATGAAAACTCTCAACATCCATCCTCTGTTGCCATCTACTGGACCTCAACAAAATAGCCTTTAGCCCCCTGTACAGAATCGGGGTAAGGCAAAGCCTTATTCATGCCTTACTAATGTACATACAATGCAGAAACATTAATGTTAAATCTTTTAAGCTGCATACATCATAATTACACTTAATAATTATAAATAATAGCTTAATTAGCACAATGAAAACTATTACTACAGAGGTACACAAAAGTAACAATCTAATTGTACAACATATGTTTGATTGGTTACTTCCTTCCCATAGGATGACCCTGGATTCACTTTAATACTACTGTCATCAGCTCTCAGAAAAGCAGGTTCTGGTTAATGGCTACAGTGAATGTTCCAATAAGATACTTAAACTGCTACTTAAGAAGAACCTTTTTTTCTTCCAAGAATCTAAAGGACATTTAATCAGGAACCCATGCAGAAGATTAAAAAACAGGGCCAGAGCTTTACTTTATTTATTTTACTATGAAGAAAGATAAATGCAAAATAGTATTGTTGGCAAAAAAAGCTAAGACTCAAGAAACATATCATAAAAATTACCATACTGCAATCAAAGATCCATTTGTAATCCAATGTGTTATTTCCATTTAACAGCCAGCAAGAGCATCAAGAGATCCAACAGCAAACACTTATTTGATGACATCTGTAAATGAAGCTTGGGTACAGTTTATGGTAAAGTTTTTCCATTAACATTCTTTTAGTACTTGCTTGCATGTTGGCAAAAGATGTCATAGCATTTCTTGAGTCTTACTAAACTCATAACCTTAATCATCTCACAATAAAATGTGCTTTCCTTTTTGTTGTATCTATATGATAATTTTGATAGCATAAAAACAAGAGCTAGCTCTTGCTGTATTACATTTACTTTATATGTTTTCTATATTCCTTCCCAGGCTCTTAAAGTAAACTTAAAAAAAAAAAAAAAAATCGAGCAATTCCAGGTTGTTCTTTTCCATGTCTGTATAAAAGGAGGCATCATCCTCTTTCTTTTTTAAAGTAATAAGAATCGAGTATAGTAGTCCATAAGAAAACAAAATATTTATGCAAAAAGCATCATTACATGAAAAGTCTGTATTCCCCCCATCCCCACTCCTTTATCTTGCAATTTTGATTCAGAACATGCAGGAGTTCATGTTGACATGCCCAAGATGAAAATCAAGTCTCACTCCCAGCCACTTATAACTCCTCCAGAAAATAACATGTGCAGTCAAACCACGTTACATACTTTCAATAACCCGGTTTTTGTTTTTGTTTTGTTTCTTTTTTTTTTTTGTTTTTGTTTTTGTCAACAGTGACTGTTCAGCCCCAACGCTTTTTACAGGTTAGACGTATTTATAACTCATACCTGAGACTGACCCACTGGGCATGTTCACACCACAATGCATGGGGGTATCTGGGAATCTCCAATCTCTGTCTTCAGCTGGAGAGGATGGGTCAGTGAGAATGACTTAGTGCTTAGCAAGAGCCGGAGGGGAGAGACAGGGAGCCGCAGCAAGAGGCGGCTCTCTCTCCTGTCGGATCTCCAGTCTCCTGACACGACCCCCTCACGGAGCTCTCCCCGAGCTCCCCCCGGTTCTGCCC